GAGATCACAATCCTGCAAGACAGGAATCTCCCTTGGTTTACCAATGTCCTAGAGATTTATAACAAAGAAGCTATCTTAACAATAGCACAATTTCCAGAGGCAAATAACTCAGTTCCTCAAGCTCTAAATAAAGTTAAATTTCTTCTAAACCCAAATCTCACTAACAAGGACACTTGATAGGAGAAATGTGAAACTTTAGATCTCCAAGATAGTGTCGAGAATCATTCCCAAGCATATGGCCCACTGATATACATCTAAAGGGTCTCACAAGAAGATTTTTACTACTAGTAATAAATAACCTTTCTCCCAACAATAGCTAGCCCCTCAAGGTCCTGGAGACCTTGCTTCCAAAATTCCTTAGAGACTAACATCACCCCCTTTGTTCTCACCTACCCAACTTCTGTGTATATAATCAGCCACTCCTCAGGATAGCAGGCAACAGCTCTTCCTGCCCAGGGGTCCTGTCCCCGTGCTTTAATAAACCACCATTTTGCACCAAAGATGTCTCAAGAATTCTTTCTTGGTCATTGGCTCTGGACCTCACCCCACCGAACCTCACTTATGTTCTAGAACTTCATCACAATGAGGAAATTGAGCTAGATATCATCACCCAGACCTAAGAATAGAAAATCATTTAAAAAAAAAATTACTACAGTATGGAGATTCCGCCAAAAATTAAAAATAGAACGAGCCTATGACCCAGTAATCACACTCCTGGGTATTTACTCAAAGAATATGAAACACTAATTCAAAAGGATTTATGACCCCCTGTTTATTGCAGCATTATCTACAATAGCCAAATTATAGAAGCAACCCAAGAAGATAAAGATGTGGTGTATACATACACAATAGAATGTTACTCAGCCATAAAGAAGAATGAAATCTTGTCATTTGCAACAACAGAGATGGATCTAAAGAGTATAATGCTAAATGAAATAAGCCAGTCAGAAAAAGACAAATACCATGTGATTTCACTCATTTGTAGAATTAAAATTGAAAATAAATGAACAAAGGGGAAAAAAAGGGAGACAGACCATAAAACAAACTCTTAACTATAAAGAACAAACAGAAGGTTACCAGAGGGGAGGTGGGGGGGGGGGGGGGGGGGGGGGCAAATAGGTGATGAGGATTAAGAGTAGCTTTATCATGATGAGCACTGAGTAATGTACAAAATTGTTGAATCATGGGATGCCTGGGTGGTTCAGTTGGTTGAGCATCTGCCTTTGGCTCGGGTCATGATCCCAGGGTCATGGGATCGAGTCCCACATTGGGATCCTTGGTCAGCAGGGAGTCTGCTTCTCCCTCTCCCTCTGTGTGTGCTCTCTCTCTAGCTCTTACTCTCTCTCAAATAAATAAAATCTTTAAAAAAAATTGTTGAATCACTAGTTCTAGTGATTCTTGAGATAGTTGGAAGCTTCCTTGGAGGAATGTCACACTTGTCCCACCCAGGATTTGGGGAGTAGGGGAGGAGTTGCAGGGTGTCAGCTCCTGCTTTGTTCTCAGCTTGCCTTCTACTCCCTCATGAATGGGAGAGATCCAGGAAAACTGGGTAACTTCCCAAAAGGGTCCAAGCCATCACCTTAAACACTGTCTTCTTCAGCTAAAGGCAAAAGAAAGATGTTGGGGAGCAGGTGAGGGATAGGCTAGTTATGGGAGGTTTTCAGCAAAGCACAGTAAACACACTGTGCAGATTTAAGTTGCTACCTTCTCTATTGGTAAGATTTTCTAGAACTTTATTCTGCTCTTGTTGCAGAAAATCTGAAGCTACCGAGGAAACTCAAGCGGCATAAGGGAAAGCAGGGAAAACTTAGCTTTATTATTGCAGACAGGCCCAGTGGGATCATTTCTCAAAGGCTGAGCACCCAACAGGGTTAAGAGTGAGTTTTTATGGTTACGGGTGATGGGGGATGTTAACGGGGCGTTTTCAGGGTCTCTCAAGGCCAGATAGCCCCTTCACGTGGAAGTAAAATCTATGCGGAGGTGTCTCAGGAGAGTGCTAAATCACCCTGGGGGACTTGTTTCTTTTTCTTTTCTTAATCAAACAAGACTGGCTACTGGTCTTTTTCTTCTGTCTCAGCAGGAGCAATGACTTGTTATCTTATCTTAACCAAATGGGATGGTTATTTGGTCTTTCCTTGGGCCTCACCAGGAGCAAAGGGGAGCCAGATGTGGAAAGGGGCTGGAGCCAGGGAGTCTCTATCTGCCTCACCTTTTCCATAGGATTGTCAGTGCAAGGTTAAAAAAAAAAAAAAAAAAATAGAGAGGTCCTCAACTCGGAACCCATGCCAAGTGTGAGAAGGTGCAAGTTCCCTCTGATGAAGTTTAGAATATAAGTGAGGTTTGGTGGGGTGAGGTCTGGAGCAGATGACCAAGAAAGAATTCTTGAAACATCTTTGGTGCAAAATTCTGGTTTACTAAACTTGAGGACAGGATTCCTGGGCAGAAAGAGCTGCTGCCCCAGGGTTGTGAGGGTGTTGGGTCCATGGTCAAAGGAACGAGACTGATACAAAGTGAAAGTCAAGCAAAGCTTTATTTTGTGTCAAGCATTGAGAATCAAAGCGACCATTCGGGGCCACCTCTTACAGAGAGGGCAACCCCTCCCATCCTCACAGATTAGCTTTTATATAGCAAAGGCCATGTGGTTGAGCCTGGCCACACACAGGTGGCCAATGAGATTGCAACACACAGAGAAAGCTGCACAGTCATGCTAGGTCACACATGGGTGCCAACTGAATTACAATTCACCCCATAGTAGCTATTTGAACTAGCCTATCACCTTGGTCAGAATTGGCCCCCAAAAGGCATCCAAAAGGTGGGGCCCACACTCCTTGGTATCTAGGGAGACAGTATGCACCCCCACTCATTGGATGTCTCCACCTGGCCCGACTCATCCCTGCATTCAGGCTCTGTTGCCTCCACCTAACCTGACCTGCCCTTGTATTTGGGCTCTGTTATCAGGGACTGGTCGACCATATTTTACTGGTTTCCTGGACTTGCTTTTAAGTAAGTTCCCCTGGGGGTGAGGGGCAGGGTCAGTTTAAGTTTCACTGCATAAACAACAAAATCACTGTTTAACTGGATGGAATCGCTCTGGCTAAACAGGCCCTTACAAGGGCCGGCAGGTTTTGTATGATGGGGCTGGGGGAGGTTAGGGAAAAAGGAGGTTTCAATAGAATTTTCATTTGCTAAAGAAGACCTATAGGATACTGGACACCAGAGGCCTTGCCCATGTCAAGGTCATTTTTTTCCCTTCTTAGCAAGGGGATTAACATTAATCTTAATTAACATTAAGATAGTTGGGAGATTCCCAAAGAATGTCACAAATGTCCCACCCAAGAGTGGGGGTGGGAGAAGGTTGCAGTGTCAGCTTTTGCTTTGTCCTCAGCCAGCCTTCTGTTCTCTCCTCACCTCTAAGTTATACTTAGACACACTCACTGACACCACATACATAGTAAACAAAGTTTCTAAATGATGTGGGAGACAAAGGTAGAAGAAAAAATTTTTTAATTTCCTTACTGCCTACAGCCCATTGACAAGTCATTGAAACAGGCAGAGTGCCACTCCTCCAAGAACTCAGCTGCCTCCATGTTAAAACTTTGCTGAGGACAAAGCCAATCTTAGCCCGACCCCCAGATCCTGTAAGTCTATTTTAACATATAAAAATTCTTTTGGAAATTTCCTTTATCTCTACCCCCACCCCCAAGATGCATGCTGGCAATCACCTCCCAAGCATACGACCCACACGATACATCTGAAGGGTCTCAGGACCAAGGTTTGACCAGATAGTAAAACACAACCTTTTCCTAACAACAGCTAGTCCCCTCCAGGTCCTGGAAACCTTGCTTCCAAATTCCCTAGGGACTTACCCTATCCCTGACTCCCTCCCAACTTAAAAGTATATAATGGGCCACTCCTCAGGACCCCAGTGCAGCTCTTTCTGCCCATGGGCCCTGTTCTGTGCTTTGATAAAACCACCTTTTTTGTGCATAAGATGTCTCAAGAGTTCTTTCTTGGCTGTCGGCTTCGAACCCTAATTCTTTCCTACAACACTAAATCCATCTTTGTGGTGCTCATGACTTATGGCATGTTGCCCAGTATAGTCTGTGGCCCTTCCTTCACAAGATGAGTAATATCAAAGAATATAGGTGTTAAAAAGAAAAACCACATATCCATAATGGAGCCACTTAAGGCCCCAATCAATAAACCAAGATTTAATAACTAACCTAACTGCAGTTTCAACCCCCTCAGGAATGGACCTTTAACCAGCCAAGCTGGAATTTCCCAGAGGTGGTCTCCTGAAAGGCCCCACTCCCCTTAGGAGGGCAACCTTGCCTAAACACTGGATTCCTTGCTAATAAATGCTTTTTTTTTTTTTTTAATGCCTTTTCTCAGCCTTTAAAAAAAACTTTCCTTTCCTGCAGCTCTGCAGAGCTTCCCTCTGCTTACTGGATAGAATGCTGTTCAGTGCAAGAATCATTTAACAAAGACAATTAGATTTTCAATATTACTTGGTTGATTTTTTTTTTTTTTAAACACAGGTCAATTTTTTATTTTTACCATCATCATCATTTGAGGTTCAGTTTAAAAGTGTCCCAGGAATGTTTAGACTGGTTTGTTTGTTTTTGTTGTTTATGTGGGGGAATATACAGTTAATGTTTAAAAGGAATGTGTTTAACCCTGTATATGTCTCGGGCTGTTCTGGCCTAGTCACAAAAACTGGGCAGAATTAATTGTCCTTAATCACACACACAGATACACATACACACAAACATGTGCATGCCTGCACATAAATCCTCTTTTCTTGCTCTCTGGCATTCTTCAGGGCATATTTCTTTTTCCTGAGAACTTAGACTGTCTGAATGTCAGAGCTGAGACAAACTTGAGAATCATGTGGTTAGCCCTTCATGTTCCGATGAGGCAAATGAGACCAGCGATTCTCAGGAGCTGCTCAAAGTCACAGAGCAGTATCAGCAGGGAGAGAATCAGAGGCTGGAGGTAGATCCAGGGCTCTGACTCACAGCCTTTAACCCTTTCAAGTGGCCCCCACTTGTTCTGCCTGGAGCTGGGGTCAGCCCTTGAGGTCAGCACAGCCAGCAGCTCTGCTGACTGAGCCGCTGGCAGAGTTTGGGTGCAGGAAGCAGGTGGCAGGGCCCTGCTGTGTGTCTGCAGCACAGAAGTAGGTGGCTGAGTCGGCAGGCTGGGACTTCGTGATATAAAAGGAACTCTGCTGGATGGTCTTATCAAAAGTGGCTCTCAGTCTTCCTGTCTGTTTTTCACCCTCATTTTCACGTATTAGTAGCAAGAAGACAAGGCCTCTTCCCAGATCTTGTCGATACCACTGGAAGACCACTGGAGAATAATTCGTGTAGTTACAGGTCAGCACAGCCTTCTCACCCTCTTGGATGCTCAGGGACTGCGGATTCTGTTCCATCTTTTGGCTGCTTACCCCTAGGCAGAAACACAATACCAGAAACAAGAGGTTTAGTCACTACACTGACACTCAAAAGAGTCTTTTTTGGGGGGCAACTGCGTGGCTCAGTCGGTTGAACAGCCGACTCTTGATTTCAGCTGTGGTCATAATCTCAGGATCCTGGGATCAGGCTCTGCACTCAGCTCAGTGCTCAGCAGGGAGTCTGCTTTAGGATTCTCTTCCTCTCCCTCTGCCCCACCCCTGGATCACTCACATATGCACACATGCTCTCTCTCTCTAAAATAAATAAATCTTTTTTTCTTTTTAAAGGTTTTATGTATTTGTTTGACAGAGACATAGCAAGAGAGAGAACACAAGCAGGGGGAGTGGAAGAGGGAGAAGCAGGCTCCTGCCGAGCAGGGAGCCTGATGGGGGCTCTATCCCAGGACTCTGGGATCATGACCTGATCAAAGGCAGACACTAAAGGACTGAGCCACCCAGGCACCCTTAAAATAAATAAATTTTTTTAAAAGAGTGCCGTATTTCCTTTCCACCACCCCAGATATAACTAAAGAAGCAGCAGAATGGATCTTGGCCCTTCCCATCTCCATCCTGTGGGCTGGGTGCCTGGATCTCTTGGCCCTCATCACCAGGAAGCCTCCAACTCACAGTCCACTGGAAACCACAAAATCACCAGAATAACTCTCAGGAACAGCTTCATTCTTCTCCCCAGCTGTGGCCTGGCATGTGGACTCACTCTCCTCAAACAAAAAGCCATTCCCTTTAGTCTGGTGGGTGTCACTGGAGTTCATCTGTGGGAGGAAGTTTCTGCTTTCTACCCAATCAGTGACAAGCTTGTACAGCCTTCTACAGACACTCACTGACCTCATCCAGCTTTAGAGTGAATGCGGTTCAAACAAGAGGGAGGAGCCAAATAGATAGGAAACAGCGCCATCTTGTGTTCAGAAGGTTTTTACAATGACGAAGTGTGTTGAAGACCAGTGCTTCTCACTGTACATACAAATTACCTAGGGATTTTGCTAAAATACAGATTCTTTTTCATTATGTCAAGGATCAACACTATCACTATCCTGTTCCTTACAACATCCTTCTAGCCAGACTAAGAATCAAATCGTCATGAGACAGATTAATAAGAGAAAATTAAATCTGATGTGCTTACAGGGAATCCACACAGACATGGAAATTTCAAAGGCAAAATGAGGTTTCTACATCATTCTGAACTAAGGAGAAGGGGTTAGGGGCCTGGGACTTCAGAGGGAAGGAAGTAATTCACAAGAAGATGTAAAAGTAAGTATTTGCTAAGCAAATGTTTGCTGGAGGACTCAGAGACAATGGGACATAGAAGACTTTGATCAGACAGGCTTTGTTAAGTTCCTCCCTGTCTACCATACTTAATTCATAGTATAATGTAGTTATTTACAGTCTTCCTGGAGCAGATACCCTATCTCAATTCTTTTTAGGCTGGGGGGGGGGTCTGGATAAGAGCTTTTCCTGAATCTGCTGGATTTTGATTGTCTTTTAACTGAAAATAACCTTCATGCCAAAGTGGCCCATTTTGGGGCTGCCAGTCTGTGGCCCCCACAGCTGGGTCTCCAGTGGGACTGGATAGTCTATATTTCTAACAAGATTCCTGGCAATGCTGATGCCTCTACTTGAAGTAGCAGGACTATATGAATGCTCGTCTCGGTCCAGAAAAGGGAATTTGCAGTATTAAGGTTTGATACAAGGCAAATGATCATGTTTCCAAAGGGCTCAGTTCCACCGCCCTCACTATTCTTTTTCTACAACAGCCAGAGGATGTCACCAGCTGTCGACAATGTAAAGCACAGGAGAGCACATGCCTGAATTCTAGGGAACGTGCTCAGATCCAGGGAGTGAACCTCCTCTCTTCACTCCTCCTGGCCTTCCCACAGGCAGGAAAATTATGGCTTTTGTAAGGGCCTATTCAGCCAGGCCCCACCCTGGTTGAACTGCCATTTTGTTGTAAAACTTAAATTGACTCTGCTCCCCGCCCCCCCAGGGGAACTTGCTTAAGAACAAGTCCCGGAAACCAGTCCCAGGGAACAAAGTCCAAATACAAGGGTGGGTCAGGCCAGGTGGAGGTATTCAATCAGTGGGGGCGCATACTGTCTCCTAGCTACCAAGGAGTATGGGCCCCGCCCTTTGGGCACCTTTTGGCGCCAATCCTAACCAAGGTGATAGGCTGCTTCAAATGTCTACTAAGGTAAATTGTAATTTAATTGGTCACCTAGCATGACTGTGCAGCTTTCTCTGTGTGTTACAATTTCATTGGCCACCTGTGTGTGGCCAGGCCCAACCACGTGGCCTTTGTTCTATAAAAGCTAGTCTGTGAAACAGAGAGGGGTCGCCCTCTCTGTAAGAGGTGTGTCCCTGAACGTTCGGTTTGATTCTTGATGCTTGGCGTGAAATAAAGCTTTGCTTGACCTTTGCTTTGTATCAGTCTCGCTCCTTTAATCACGGACCCATTATTGGGAGACCCATTATTGGGGGACCCAACCTTGGGGGCTCGTCTGGGATTAAATGACGAGAACTGAGCCAGCATCAGACTTTCTGGGAAAAGCCTCCGGAGGTAAGATCTTGGGATTCTGTCTGTCTGTCTGGTTGCGGAGCTCCAGGTATGGCCCACCGGGGAGAAGCTGGATGCAGCCATGCTCCCCAGGGCTGGAGTGGAGGTGGGGACGCCCCATCCCTCTTCTGGTAGATCGTCTAGGGGTCTGAGTCCTCCTCGGTGGTCAGGGGGCCGAGAAAACCCCCACCAGTGTCAGGCTCTGGGTGAGGGACACTGGGTCTGGGTCTGGGTGGCTCGTCTGTAGGGGACTGAGAAAATCCCCACTGGTGAGCATCTGTAGGGGCCCGAGAAAACCCCCATGAGTGGGTAGTTGCAAGAGACCGAGAAAATCTTGACTGGCTGCTGGGTCTGGTTCTGTCTGTCTAGTTGAGGAGCTCCAGGTATGGCCCACGGGGAGAAGCTGGAAAAAAGGAAAGACACTGGTAGAAAAAAGCTGGTTTTCTCTCTTTAAAAAGGCAAAGTTTTCTTAGTTAATTGATCTGTTTAAAAAAAAAAAAAATGTAAATGGTTTTCTCTTTGCTTGCCCAGAGTTGTAAATGAGATCTCTTTGACTCATAAGGCTTTTCCTTGATATGCTAAGTTACTCAGGGAGTACTGCTAAACCAATGATAAACCTTGGGTTACATTTGGGTAAATGCTGTTAACTACTCTAGAGGTTCTATACATTTCCTAAAGCTTTAATGTTTTGATAAGGGTCATCACTTTATATTTAACCATATCTATTCTGAGTTTTTGTCATTCATTATTGTTTTAATTCTCTTGTAAGATGGATTCCACCCTAAAGGAAATTCATATGGGAGACTTTCAGGACAAATACAGGTCTTTGATATCTTAAAATCCTGGAACTGAAATGGGTAACAATTTCCAGAAGTAAAAGCTGCATTCAGACTAAACCAGAATTAGTAACATGGGACTAGATGAACTGAAAGGTTATGTGCCTCTTAATGTTTTAAACATGACTGGTTCTGTATTGTTTGCCCCTCCAGACTAGGGAAACCTTTTCTTAAGTTATCTGTAACTTACAGAGATGCAAAAGTACTCATTTGTAAACGAATCAAGGCATTCAACTTTTCTCTCTGTCTGAACCTCTGAAACCAAAAGGTCTCAGTAAGTATTCTTTCTTCTGTGGCAATCAGTCATTTGCATAAGTTCAATAAGAATCTGTTCTCCTTGTAACAGGACACCATTGGAAACTCTGGTTACTTTACCAAGGCTTTGACTAGAATGTCATATTTGAAAAGACTCAGATATGATGAGACAGTTTAAAGGAACTAAGGTTGACTTTATGAAACCTGGAGCCATAAAGCCCTTTGGAACTTTTGGCCTGATACCTTGCTTACAGAGTTCCCAGCAGCTTCACCAGGTGAGTAAAGAATGTCACTCCCTGGCAGGGGCAAGACCTCAGGAAGAGGAATTCACCCAATCTGACAGGTATTGCAGACATGTCTGATGGCAAGTACGTGGCTTGGCTTCTGGCCCGGAGAGGCTACTAAAAGTTCAACCTAGAGATTCCTTATAAGAAGTTCCAGCAAAGCAGATTCTAAAAGATCTATATGATCACTTCCTGTTCTTGCTGAGCTTACGTAAATAATTAGGCCAAGTTTGTTAAAACTGGACTTGTTTTTCAAGTGAATTAGTCCTGATTTGGCTATCTCTGGAAATGAGGGTTATTTTAGAAAGAAAAATTATGTTAACATTTAACATCCTTTATGGATGTTAAATTCTAGATTTGGTTGTCTTTAAGTGTTTGTTTACCTAAGCTAGATAACTTGAGGTAAACTTCAGAGAAGTTGTACAATAGCTCATTTAGACGATCTTGCCTTTGCCAATCAGTCAGCCCCAGATATAAGGAGGAAACTTCAGAAAATTGAAGAATTTGAAAGGAAGAATCTGACTGAGTTAGTGGGAATAGTGGAAATAGCCACTGAGGACTATGGGTCATGCTTGCGGGGGACGAGAGCTCTCTTACAGACTCTGCAGGAAATGGATATCGGGTGTCAGCAATGAAAGTACAGCTTTGTCAGAGCCACGCCACTTATTTAGGCTTTGATCTCCATGAGGGAGTTTCTTGGGACAGTGGGCTACCGTAGGCTGTGGACACCGTGGTTTGCGGAGATGGCACGACCTCTCTACGAATTGACTAAGGGAGGACTCACTATGGTAGAGTGGACAGCTGAGGCAGAAGGAGCATTTTGGGAATTACAAACAGCCTAACTGAGTGCCCCAGCAATAGCCATCCCAGATGTTACCAAGCCCTTCCACTTGTATGCGGATGAAAAGGCAGGGGTGGCCAAGGGAGTTTTGACTCAGACTCTGGGGCCTTGGCAAAGGCCAGTAGCCTATCTTAGCAAAAAGCTAGATCCAGTAGCAGCTGGGTTCCCCCTTGCCTGTGCATAATTGCTGCCATGGCCTTCCTGGTCAAGGATGCAAGCAAATTGACTTTGGGTCAAAATCTCATCTTGACCACCACCCACGCTATCAAGGGCCTTCTCCAGACTCCAGCAGACCGGTGGCTTACAAATGCCCGAGTGACAGGGTATCAGGCCCTCCTCCTCAATGAACTGAAAGTGATTTTCCGGCCCCCGGCGGTGCTAAATCCAGCCACGTTGCTACCAGAGGAGCTGGCTGAGCACCCACATGACTACAGGGAGGTCTTAACCCAGGTCGCAGGAATAAGGCCGGATCTTAGAGACACTCCCCTCCCGGATGCGGAGATGACTCTGTTCACAGAAGGGAGTAGCTACATGGTCGATGGAAAGAGGTATGTGGGGGCTGCGGTGGTTTCTCCTGAGCAGGAACTCTAGATGACAGCCCTGCCACGCGGAACCTCGGCGCAAAAAGCAGAGCTGATTGCTCTCACCAAGACGCTACAGATGGCCAAGGGTAAGACCACCAACATCTATATGGACAGTAGGCTGGGTAGAGGCTTTTTCTGCCAAATATGAGATGGCAGGAATGGTAGCCAAAAAGCTACTAGAGGCTTGGGTTACCTCTTGCAATTGGGTCAGACAATGGCTCTGCATTTGTGAGTTCAGTCTCACAGGCATTGGCCAAGGCCGTGGGCACTAATTGAAAACTACGTTGTGCCTACCAGCCCCAGAGTTCTGGGCAAGGAGAGAGAATGAACCAGACTCTAAAAGAGACCCTGGCACAGCTAATT